ATATTTGTATAAAATTAGAGGACTAATGAGGTACCATGCATACACTAGAATAAACCGAGATTAAATGTTTCAATGAAAACTTCTAGAGGATAGTTTTATCCACAAATTTATAATAAAACCCAAATCCATGATTTCTTAGTATAAGTAATGAAAACTCTTGATCATACCGATCACTGTATTCAAATCTTAATCTCTTTTTAAACAACCTGAAATCAATAACTATTTCTATTTTACTAACTCCTCTATAAATAGACCCAATTTGGACCACAGCAGCAGTCATCTGGTTACTGCTGCAATAATTCCATCTTCTGGGAGTTGCAGACAGAAACTATTGTCTTTTGTAATACAGGAATAATCCACCTCATTTCCCTCTGGACAATGGCAGTGTTCTCCTAGAGTTCCAGCTGGAGCTCAGGAGGCGCAGGGGCTGCTTCCATTGTGTACCAAGCGACAGTTCAGCCAGCAGCTGATGGGCTGGTAGCCCTCCTCCGCATCGGCCTGCCACCTAAGACTATTACAGCTGCTCTTTCACTGGCGGAATAAGGACGGGGTGTGGAAAGCAGAAAGTCAGGGAAAAATAGGGAGTACTATCAAAAACCCAAATGGAAAAGAAGGAGGTGCGTCAGAGAAGGAGCAGCCGAAACACTTCAGCTGCTGAGAACTGTTGACACCCACCTTGGAGCGTCCCCCTCCAGGCCACGCTGAGCACCTGGCATCCGGGCAGCAAACGTAACAAACCAGGTCAGAGCTTGAAACTCAAAATCCACCTCCAGTGAGAGAGGACAGTAAGCTGGATCAGCCAGGAGACACTGCAGCCTATAAAACCAAACCTCGATATCTCCCTTAGCAAATCATTCCAACCCAGGAAGCCAATTTTATCTGCCCTTGTAGCTAGCACTGACTTGTTTTCTTTTAACCAAAAATAATTCTTATGAAATAAATGAAAAACTAGAGCAAAAAGAAACAGCCCTTCCCACCCCAATGCTCATCTACCCTGCAAGAGATCAGCATAGGAGAGAACACCATTTGGGGGTGAAGGAAGAGTGGCGTGGGAATGCAAAAAGCATTTTTCACAATAGGCCAATAAACTCAAAATGATTAAATCCTTCTGAAAAGCCTGCGGAAACAGAGGACATAATTAATATGTTGACGATGAGCACTCCAGCTTGTCTGATTGTCTCAGAGCACTCGAGCAAAACACAGTGCTGGACGCCTGGCAGGGAAGACACACACAGCATGCTGAAGTCCTCAGCATTAAGAAACGTGCCTGGGTTTTATTTGAGAAAGAAGTGAAGGCCTTTGGCACTCAGCCACTCACCTTAACTCCTCAATACTTCCAAATATATTTGCTTTCATCAGAGGTCAAAGGACAAAAAAGAGTGCTTTTCTATCTGTGTTTTCATGCAAAAGCCAACGACAGGGATGGAGTCATTTTACATTTTTCACCTAGTCACCCTGGTGCCCTCTGCTGAAGGTGGAGAAGGAACAGAAGGCAGACTCAGGGAAGGCCGAATTCGCTCCGCACGGCACAAAGGAATGCGTGCACTTCTCTGTTGACATTTGCGATTTCAAAAAATACCGCAGTCCGGCTAAAAACAAAGAGAAGTCCACTAAAATTTCCTGATCAATAAGACATCCTCCTATGGTTTTGCTGGTCTTATTTTTCTGTTCAGTTAGGCTTTGGTCATTCTAGCTCAGAAACTGTGACAGTCTTGTAACAGCAATGTTGACAGCACTTACTCGGGAAAGAATGCAATACTTTATGTGGTCACAATCTTCCGGAATATATCCAAGTAAAATTTCTGGGCTGAGTCTCTTCTTGTTAGAAGACAGAACACTGGAATAGAGAGATGCTGTATCTACTTGTGAGAGTTCTGTGAGGCATCCCCTGAGAAAGCAGCAGGTCAAGGATGTACTTTCATCTACCATCTCAGAAAAGTACCCCTGAACAACAGCAATGACAAGAGAAGTTTTGATTTATAATGCGCATACTCTAAACACCAAGTGCAAAGGCATGACTACTGTCTCTGCCCCATGGGGTCGCTGATGCTCCGAGCCCAATTCTGCACAAGTGGACAGGCTCAAAGTCCTGCGGAAAAGTCCACTAGATGCCTGTGTTTCTGTCCCCAGTTGAACTACTGTAATTTAAGCTTTCAAGTGACCAAGCATGTACCTCTCACACACATACGCAATCTTCTGGTCTGCTACCTCCTTCAGACCTCCTCCGGGCCCTGCTCTCTCCTGCTGCCAGAGGAAGGGCTGGGGGTGAACTCAGGAATAGTAGATGGATGGGGGGGTCACTTTTATCACGGGAAATGGCAACTGAAATTTCCCACAAATTGAACATTGCCAGTGGGAGCTATACGACCATTCGCACACAGGCTAGTGGAGAGGTGTTCACTGTGGCCCTTTCACCTGAAAACAAAACAGAGGTCCCCTAGGAAAACTGAACACTGGGAACATTTTTAGCTAATAAAACAAGCCTGAAGCAGTGTGCTCTGAGCAAGCAGCCTTGCTGGAAACAGGGCACAGCCTGGCGCAGGGAAAGGGGCAGAGGCTCTGAGGGCAGGGAAAATAGAAGTGGCTCCACTTATCAGCCGTGTGACCTCGGGCAAGTCATGTATGTTTTTTGGTTCTCAGCATGTGCCTGTGAAATTGGACTTCCGATAATTATCACAACAATAACAGCCTATGTTGTGAAGATGCACTGAAATGCCAAATACACCAGCTCAGACCCCAGGGTCGGACACCAATTTCACTCCCTGAGAATCTAACAATGTGAAAAGATGAAGCAAACAACCAGTCAGCCAAGAATGAACTCTGGAATGGTGTGGGACTGCCTCACGTAAGATCTCAGATGTAATGAGAAACATCTTTCATTAAAAGAAACTCAATTTTCTGTTGCACAGCAGTTATTTGGATAAACACCACTCGATCAGAAACACCTTAGGTCAGAGATTATGCTAAAAACCGGGGCCACAAAAGCCGAACAAGATTGTCTTTCTCTCCCTCAGGGAGCTTACATTTGGAGCCGCACACAGCACAGCTACCCTTTCTCTTCTACACCTTTGCATTCCTTCTGCTGTCTGTTATGTAAGAGTAGGTGACAAAAGCAGACGTACTATGTGAAACATCTCACTCCAGCCCCAATCCGCTCTCTTTTATCACCTCCCTTTCTCTGCCTCATTGCTACCTCTTTGCACAAGATAAAATAACTCCTGGGCTCAACTGGCTGGACCAGCTCCTGGTAAGAGGTTTAGGCTTTACGACTACCCCACAGCTAACGTGCTCTGGTTCCAGTTTGAACTGCACGCTTCACCACCATTCACCTTAAAAACCCAACCCCTGGTCCCACTGGCCTTTACAGGGCTTCAATGGAGTAGTTTCATCATTTGCTGAGAAAACAGCTCAAATCCCATAACCCACTGATAAAGCAGGGTCACCCCACTGGTTTGGGAGGATACAGATTAAGATCTCAACAGATACAAGAATGGATTTATACCACTGGAGTTACTAACCTGAGGATCATGATAAAAAAAACAGCTGCCATCAATACGATCCCCCTTTCTTTTTTCTCAAGTCCCCTGACTGTCTCGACCCCTCCCCCAGCGTTGTCTAAACCCTCTTTTCTGCAGCGCCAGCCCCCTCCTTGGGGAAAAGATGGAGTCGGATTAAGCACCCCAATGCTAACAAGACTAAGAGGCCACTGCTGGCAGGCCCTGCGGGAACAGACTCCGAGACGGTGCGGCAGAGGCTGCGATTCCTTAGACAGTGCCCGCGTGGCCTCTCCTGACACTGAAAAACTGGCTCCTGGACGCTTACAAAAGACCGGCCATCACTGCTGTCCCTCAACCCAGGCCACATTCAAAGGACCCCTGCTGAACTTAGGGCTTATCACCGCAAAGGGCGCCCCCACCCCCCGTGCTGTCGAAGCCCGGAGGAGACAGAGAGCCCCTAGCTCTTTCGGTAAGTGCAGGTGCAGCGGCTGTCGCCCGGAAGCCTGGGCCACCCATGGCACTTTCCTGGACAGACACACAGCCGCACGTGGCTGGGCTAGAGCTCCCAGGCGAGGGACAACCCGCTCGCACAGATGAGGCTGGGCATGTACTGAGCCGGGGAGAGAAGAGTCACTGACGTATCCAAAACGATTACAGCCACCTCTCCCTCAACAGGTCAACGAAAGCAAAAGGCATCAGCCAAGAGAAGCAAGACTTCTGTACGCAAGAGAAGCCAAGTGGGCTAGGAACAGGCAGGCACCCACAGTCTTGCTGCTCCTTCCAGAAGTTTTGGCTTAAATTCCCAATGCCTGAAGAGTGCGGGGGCAGTCAAGTGCCGGGCAGAAAGAGGGCACGTCAGGCCCCAGAACGCGGAGCTGGCGGTCCCCGGCCACGGCCAGACCCTCCGGGACAACTGCTGCAGCCCGCGGCTCACCTTGAGATAGTCGTTCTCCGAGCGCAGCTCCTCCATCTCCCGCAGCAGCTCCTCTTCCTCCACCGCCGGTACAAGCCGCGGCTGCTCGCCCGGGCTGGGCTCCTTGGGGGTCCCGGGAACCGGTCGCTCGGGCGGCCCGCGGCCCCGGGCATCCTCCGCTGAGCCTGGCCCCGGGGACCCCGCGGAAACCCCGCCCGGGCTGCTCCGGCCCCCGAGACAAGCGCCGGCGGCTGGGGGCACGGCGAGGAGCGCCGGGGGCTCGGGGCTACCCGGCGGCGCCCCCCGGGCTGCGGGGCTCGGCGTGGGCGCTCCCCGCGGGGGTTCTCGGTCGCTGGAGCCCGTGCCGGACTCGGCGTCGCTGCTGGCTGCTGGAAGCAGGCGCTGCTCGTCCGACAGGGGTTCGGAGGGGCAGTCGGAGAGGTCGGAGCTACTGTCCGTGTGGCTGATGCGCGAGCCTCGGGCCGGGGAGCCGGCTGCCGAGGTCACGGCGAGGGTCACGGCGGGGATCCGGGCGGCCGAGGCCGTGGGGCCAACGGTGCGCGCGGGGGCCGCCCCGGAGCCGCGCTTGGCTTTGCGGCCCTTGGCAGCGGCGGGCAGCGGCTCCGCCCCGGGAGACTTCCCCGCCCGGGGCAGCGGCTCAGCGGGCGCCGCGCGCGCCACCCTCCTGGTTCCCAAGGCAGCCTTGGCGCCGCCCGCTGCCCTGGCCCCGGCGCCCGGCGGTGGTTTGTCCTTCGTGCCGGGGACGCCGCCGCTACGCCGGGAGAGGCGGCCGGGCGCGGCCGGGGGCCCCGGCGAGGGCGGCGCCTTGCCCGCGAGGTTGGGCGAGCGCGGTGCGGCGGGCGCCGGGGCTCGGCCGGAGGACGGGCCGGCCGGGGCCGGACCGGGCGCGGCGGGCCGGGCGTGCAGGTCCTTGAGGAAGGGTCTGGCGGGCGAGGGTGCGCGGTGCAGCCGCCGCCTCTCAGCCAGCGGGTGGAGGTGGTGGTGGCGGTGGTGCTGGCCGGGCGGCTGCGGCTTCGTGTCCGGGGCGCCGCCGCTCGCGGGGCCGTTCAGTGTCTCCATGGCCGGGGCCGGGGCCGCCAGCAGCAGCTCGGGCGGCAGATGCTCCGGGCGGCGGCGGCGTGCAGCCTCCCCGCGCGCTCGCTCATCACTGTCCCCCAGCCCCGCCCGGTCTGTGCCCCGCGCTCTCGCCGTCCCCCCTCCCCGCACCCCGGCCTTGAGGATTCCCGTGGGGCTCGCCGCCGCCGCGCTCTCCCCGGCTGAGATCACCGCCGCTTGAGTTCTTCGGGCACAGCAGCGCCGCGGCTCCCGGCCGCTCGCATCCCCTGGACGCGGCGCTCCGGACTCGCGGTCACTCGTCCGGCGGCGGCGCTAGCGGCGCGCGCCCGGCTCCCGCGTCCTGCTCCCCGCCCGCCCGCTCCGGCCCGCGCCCGCCCCCGCCGCTCCCGGCGGAGGAAACTGCACGCGCGCTCCACCGCCGCCCCGCGCCCGGAGCCCGCCGCCCGGTGCGCATGCCCCGCCTCCCGCCAGCCGGCGCCGGGCGGGGGCCAGGAGGGAGGGCAGGCGGGGAGCGCGGGGAGGGGGGCAGAAGGGCGTGGCCTGAGCTCCCGGGGGGCCCCGGCGCCGGCTGTGCCCGCGCGCCCCGGCCGCCCCGGGACCCTCGGTGGGCTTAGAGGCTCTGGAGACACTGCCGAGGGAAAGGAGGGAGGGAAGACGCGCAGGGGAAGTGGGGGAAGGGCAGGCACCGGCCACTGGGGGGAGACCGAGGCCCGGGAGGTGTGGTTGGGCCCTCTGCGGCGTGCGCCGTGGCGCGCCAGCTCTCCCTCGGCTGACCGGCGCCCCCCACAGGGCCCTCGGCTCCCTCCCCCGCTGTCCTCTCCAGGCTGTCGCCCTAGTGCCCGCGCTCCTTTAAGGATTGCTGGTCCCCGGCGCAGCTATCGCGTCAAAACGCGCTCCACAGTTGGCACCCCCGCGGCCTCGGGAGCCGGCCGAGCTTGGGCAGAAAGGGACTCGCGTTTATAGTTCGGTGACGAGCCAGGCAGCCAGACAGACTCACTCGATAGGCATTGTTTACTTAAACCGCGCAACGATCCTGAATTGGAGCTGCTGTGCTCTTTGAGGATGAGGACACAGGCGCAGGGAGGAGCAAGCTCGCCCGGGGAGCCGGCTTAAGCCCAGGTCTGCGGGACTGTCCCGCGTGCTTTCCGCTCGGGGACCGGGGCTTGAGTCCCGGCTCCGCCGCTGGAGTCTAACGCGGCAAGCACTTGACCTTCTTGAACCCCCGTCCCCTCACCTGTCTAATTAGAAAATACCGCCACCGAGTGCGTGTGAGGACTAAATGAGCAGTTTACACCGTGTAAACCGTAAAGCGCGTTCTCAGGTCACTGGGCGTTCATGTCCCGGGCGTTGGATGTTGGGCAGCACCCAAAGGAGTAGGGGCCAGCTGTGCCCGGCCGGGCGCTGCAGGGCCAGAGGGCAGACAGTGGCTCCTCGGTGCTGGGGGCACTTAGCCCAGCTGGGGGTGGCAGTTTCCTGAAGCACCGCTCGGTCTGGTGGGGGAGCGCCCGGGACGCACCAGGGCGCGGCGAGAGGGGCCGGGCGAGGAGGGGCAGGGTGGGGTTTAGCGACGAAGCCGGAGCGCGGTGGCACCAAACAGCCTGCCCGGGCATTTGCACATCCCCCGGAGGCCGGGCGAGCCGCTGGAGGACGCTGGCGCGACTGGCGTGATTCGCTCAGAAGACCCGCGGCGGCGGGCGGGGAGCAGGCCGAGGGGCCGCGCAGCGCCTGTGGGGAAGGGCGCGGACTCGCAAAAATAAGGGGAGAATAGACTCCCAAGTCTGCGGTCTTCACCGCAGATGTACCCCACCCAGAAAAAATACAGGAGGAACTGATTCTTTTTCAGCCTGTAAGCGAGGAGAGCCGCGTCCCGGAAGACCTCCCGCCTCGCCCGCGGCGCTCCGCGGGCGCCGAGACCTCGCCGGCGCCGCCCTGGCTCGTCTCGGGGTGGTCTCGGGCTCCCTCCGACTGCGAGACGGCGCGCACGGACGTCGTCTGCACTGGCTCTGCTTCCGTGAGCGTCTAGGAGGACCTCCGCCGTTTCTCATCGAGCGTTCGGAGAAGGACACCGGCGGCCGGTGGCGGCCGTGGGCGGCGACACCGCAGAGGCGGGGCAGGGTCCCGCCGCCACGCCCGCCCGCCCGGCGTCCTCTAGAGGGCGCTCCGACTCTCCCATCGGAAGGTGGCTGCTCTCGGCACCCAGAGTCCAAGTGACTGCCAGCCCGGGTCCAGGACTTCTGCCTCCAGCTACCTCCAGGGACCCAGAAGTCTCCAACACCCTCACGTTCCTGAAGAATATGGCCAGTACTCTTAACGCAAGCTTGTCGGCTCCTCATACCACATACACTCAAGCAAAAGACTGCCCCAGAATTGTTCTAGCAAGTTAGTCTTACAAAGACATTATCCAGATGACCATACAATTTGTAGCCGGCTTCCCTTTCCTTCAGGTAATAAGTCGACCAAAATGCATCCTCCTTATCCCTTGTTATTAGCCTGGCATGATGTGGCTACTGGCTCTTGGCAAGGAAGTGCTCAATAATGCCTGCTATCGTTTTTCTTAATTTATTTTTCAGAGGTGGGGTCTGGCTATATTGCCCAGGCTGGATTCCCACTCCTCAGTGATCCTTCTGCCTCAGCCTCCCAAGCAGCTGGGATTACAGTTTAATGAGCCAATTCATCTAGCCAATAATGCTTTCTTTGTTTTCCAATATTCAGTGAATTACAGGTCTAAAGAGATATCTGCTTGCATAATAGGTGTTTTTAAAGTCACGTGTGATTTAAAAATTTATTTTTTTTGTCAAATCACATTAGTCTAAAGGCATTAGGGGATTTACTGTTTGAAGGAGGCTTAAAGTGCTTGTTCTGTAAAATGACAAAACCCAGTGTGGGTGTGCCTGTTTTGGTCTGCTTGCCCTCAAAGGCAGTCCTTGCCCTTCAGCTACTCTGCGCTGTGTGGCTGAGGAACAGCCCCTAAAGGATGGCTTTCCAGGCTCCAGCTGTCAGGAGGTTGGAGGGGGCCAGGAAGGGAGAGACCAGGGTATTTCTTCCTCCCTCTCTCTCTCACTGCCTCGGGTGGCTTCTCCAGCAGTGGCCCCGTCTGCTTCGTGGGGTGGGTTTCTGAGGCGGCAGCTCTGGCCGGATGGGCACTCCCACTGGTAACTTCTTGCCCTCCATCGCCTTGCAGTCACGGGTGGTGGTGGCTCCTGTGCTTGCAGACCTGTGCTGCTTCCTGTCCGCAGTTCCACCTCGATTCCTCCACCACCTCGGTGCCAGTCCCTGCGTTGCCAATACTGGCACCGTGCTCCCGAGTCCCCTGTCCTCATTCTTCCGCAGAGGCCTAAGTACAGGCCTGGGGCACTGCAGGCAGCACTGGTGTGATAAGTAATGTTTGTGTGGCTGTGTTGGTGACCCCTTTGTCAAAGAGCAGTGTGGTATGGTGACAAGACCTCAGGCTTTGACATCAGGTAAATCTGAGTTCAAATCCTGCCTAAGTCACTTGCTGTCTGTGTGTGGCCTTGGATAAGGTATTAATATTATTATCAGTATTATCAGCTTCATTATTTAAGACCAGTGGAATAATCTTCTATACTCTTTAAAAATTATGGAAACCAGACTCTGGGCGAAAGTTAGAAATCTATTCTGTGTCTATACAGTTATATAAAGGGAAATGAATTTTATTTTTACTTTGACTCATAGAGGGTAAAAATATGGCTTACTCAGGACTTCATATCCCACAGTGCTCTATACTCACAGGTAGAATTATACACAGAATTTCTGCACCCTCACTACCTTGTCCAGCCTAGGTGTCTATCTGTTTTCCAGTTTCCCCCACCCTTTAGTTTAACACAAAGTCACATTTAGAGTATGAAATCATGCCTGGTTTAAGCCATGAGAAATCATCCTCTTTGAAAAGAGTGGAAAGAAAAGGAAAATTTTAACAGAGTGAGCAGTATTTTGGCACTGCAGGAAAGTTATAGCAAAAACAGGACCTCTCGAAGTCGGGGGGCCCCCCTGAGGTTGAAGCTGAGGCCTGTGTCCCACACTGGGGTGTGGGCGCCTCCCAGCTCCCTTTGTGGGGAGCTACCAGCATGTGAGTGAGGGTGTCAGGCACACTAGATGTCTTGCAGTCTGTCCAGAGAGGAATTGTCCCACTCTCTGTATGACTTCCAAATGTGCCTGGAAACATTCACATGGGTAAAAAATCTGCTTATCATTATGTGAGCCTAGAAGTACCTGTTTTATACATAAACACAATACTTCTACATATAAAGCAGTATTTTTTAAGTTCTTTTAAAACTTTATAAACATTAATATTATTTTTAATTGACATTCATAAGAGTACAATGTGATGTTTTGATATATGCGCACTAAAACAGTATTTTTAGGGTTGTTTTAATATCTACTGAATTTTTTCTAGAGTGGCAACCGCAATAGAAATCAAGACTCTACTTCATTTTATCTGGAGGTTTTAAATGTGTTTTCCATCTTTGATCATTTCATTATCGAGGCAATGCCACTCAAGGTTTCAGAGTCATCACTATACCACACCTGTACTTGTCTGCATTTTAGCAGTTGCTTCTATGTAGAAAATCTGACTACTTCATTGTATATTTGTATTAAATAGTATATTTGTGCCTAAGCTGTATATGTTGAAATACATATTATTTTGTTATAAATTGCTTTTTTATTATTTCTTTTTTATATTACCACTAGGGCTGCATATCAACTTTTTTTAAATGTGTGGTTAGGGGAGTGATATACACACATGCACACACAATGATTCTCATTTCAAGAAAGTAAAAGAGGGCTGGGCTTGGTGGCTCACACCTGTAATCCCAGCACTTTGGGAGACCGAGGCGGGAGGATCACTTGAGGCCAGGAGTTCAAGACCAGCTTGGGCAACATAGTAAAAAAAAAAAAAGAAAGAAAGAAAGAAAAGAAAGTAAAAGACGTATGTAAGAAGGGGGCATTGGGGCCAGCAGGACTGAGAACCACAGCTTCTGCCG